TGTGGCGTAAACAAACGTATTTTACCAGTAAGCCAGCAGGCTCCATTGTCCCTCCAATGAGAATCGTCGCTCGTGCCTCTTTGACTACCTCCATCAGCCGAGATGCTGGATTCAGAAGAATGAAACGGAATCTGTAATGATTGAAAAAACCTTAACGGTCAAAATACTGAGGTGTAAAGCGAATAGATTAGGTAATGCAGGGATTTTTTCAGACCCCTTAGCAAGGCCCCTAGCACTTCGGACCGCTAGTTTCGTCCCGAAGTAATCAAAGGAATGGAGCACTGACCGAAGACGCCAGCTGGTGCTAGTAATCTATCGCACAGACCTAATACACATGGAGACGGCCCTGTAAGTCCCGGTAGAAGTCCAGCACATGTCGCGTTCCATGAATCTTGATAGACGTCGAGCTTTTTGCTTTTTTTATTTACAGTCCTGTCCGATGCGGATGCTGGGACGTGTCAGGGAGGCTAGGTTTGGCGCAGCGCCAGCCGGTTCTCCACGAATTTTCGAGAGCAGGCTAATCGAGAACAGTTGGTGGAGAAGGATTTGGTGCAGCGTCGGACCCATCCTCTGACACACCATGGCATCCGCGGCATACAAGACGTCACCCAGCGAGCACTTAGAAGGTCCACAATATAAATGGAATTTCAGTTCGAAGGACAATTAGTAGAGCTATCGAAGCATACATTTTCGAAGGTATCTCTTATTAAGCAGACACTTTACATACAAAAAAGCGAGAAGCTGCTCGTAAAACTTTATATTTTCACTACTGGACTTACAAATCAGGCAAGGGCGAAGAAACCTTGTAGATGAATACTGTGAAAAATATTATAAACCTACTTAGCAGCATTTCCTTTTGTCTCGACAATAATCCTCCCATCCTCACATCTGTTGCTGAGAGCCTCCAGGAATCCCTTTATGGTGAATAATGGTGATGGATAGGATCTGGCTTTATCATCTGCCACTGGTGCAGGATCTACATTTTCTGAAGACGAAAAATGTAGGAAGAAACCGAACTGTACACCGAAACAGTTATAGGCATACGACTTTCATAAGAACGCGTGCTCGCCCCCACCCCACCCGGCTCGACGGCACTTTTGTAGTATTTTACAAAAATTTTCCTCAGCGATAGGAGACGCCCTTGGAGTTCGGAAACAGCCACAAGAGCGAACTCCCATTCATCTTTGGATGACGATAACAACCCATCCAAGAGTGACTGGGGGTCAGTCGCTGACCAAGTCCATTGTCGACTAAATTCCGTGTGTCTATGTACTTTGGCCTAGCTAAACACATTGGCAAACAGCCGAAATCAATACATTGTCCTTTTGTAGTTGCTACTCGTTCCTTATCTGCCTACTCTGCTGACTGTCCAATGCTAAACTTGGGGCCTGCTATATTTGTTACCTCCTACCTGACTTAGCAGCCATTAACTTGGCGATTCCGCTCTTAGCAGTAGACGCTTGCGAGACAGAAACACGGGATTTCATCGAGCGAATGAAAAATCCGTGGAATTTTCTGCACATATCTGTCGAGTCCATATAGTGCACGATCTTGAAGAGATTTACCTCAGTCAATCCCAAACTGAAACACACATTTGAGAGGAATAATGCCGGATCCTTCGCTAAACTGTATTTTGGATTAGTCTAGCTTACCGCTATGACAAGACCTTGAATTGTTAGCACTTTGTTTGGAGTGTCCAAATTCTTCCGTAAGTACTGGTCAAGAGCTGCCACAACTGCCAACAACTGTTTCATATATAATAGGTTCTTTGATTTCAGTCGAGATCTAAAGACAATTCTATGTCACTTCTAATGGTATTTCCTGGACAGACAGTTCCCCATTACTCGGCCCTCTTCCTCATCTTTTCACTTTTCACACGTTTCACACACAGAAAGAGAGGGTATAGACTTTTGAACAAAAAAAAACGTATCGCCCTCTAATTATCACTTTTTTCAAGATTCTTTTTATATAGAGGCGTGTAAGATCAAAAATGTACAGCAATGTTACTGCGGGGTCTTTGCCTGTTTTGAGCACCTCTTGGATGCCATCGCTTCACAATGCAGGGAGGCGCGATACAAAGTTGGACATCATCTCAATCTTGGCTTGAACTCAGACTTTTCGAGGTTTTCTCGTAATTTCTCGTCCAGTAATGATTGATTACGGGAGGCAACTCGCAGTTAGAAGGAGCAATGTCTGTGCTACACCACTGCAAGGGAGAGAGCCATCCAGCTCTATTGCATGAGGAACGGCTAGAACTTTTTTGGAAGTGCGCTGCACTATCAGAAGCATTTGGAGGGGTCGGTGGCGATGGTAGCGGATAACATTCTTGTCCATATTGCAGAAGAAGAAGCAGGAATCAAGTAGAACAGACCACATCCTTCGATGTATAAATGCTCACCATTACTGCTCACCCCTCTTCAGTTAACGGGCAAATATTTTGAGCTCGAAAAAGTGCCCGCCGACCTTATAGAAAGTCTGGCAAAGGACGAATCCAGATACGTACTTATAAGTATCCAGATATTCCCTTATCAGAGAGCAGCGCCAGCGTCGTGGAGACAGAAGTGACCTCTGTAGAGTACAAGGACCCTGAAATCGAGAAAGGGAGTTGGTTCAGGCATAGGCAAGGGATGCTATCCAAAATAATGCAATAATCTATTCATGAATTTAATAAGCTCTGACCTGATTGCGTCTCCAAAACATTATGCGCTTCGTCGAGGACCAACACATTTCCCTTCAAGTCGATTCCCCAAGCTGCTCGCGTTGACGCATGAAGTACGACCTCAAAACTTCTTTGATTCCCCAGTATTTAATACCATTTTTGAACTTCAAGACTAAATGTTTACGGAAAAATTTTATAATTTTCGTTCATTTCATAGAGGCCATAGCTTCAGCCCTATCTATACGGCCGAAAGTCACGTCTTCTCTTCCACTGAGAGTCCCGGCGGTACCTCAGTTCGCTTCGAAAATCTAATAGGCAGCCATGTGGATCCGGATATCACATATTCAAATCGCCAACCAGATCCTAGCCGCGATACTTTACGATTCGCTCAATAGATAAAAATAACGAGATCCCATTAAATTTCAGAAACGTTCGTTTATAGAAATTTTCGCGGGACAGATAGAGCTTTGCTGTATTATGAGTATTGGTAGCGAGAATTAGGTCTGCATGTCCTACAGCGCCTATAAATCTTTAAAAGGTACTTTTTCAGGACCCTGCCCCAAACTTACTGAAGCTCGTGAATCAACTTTTGAAAGTTTCCTCTAGTTATCTCTATAGAATGAACTGCACCTGATAAGGGAGCAAAACCAGTTGGCACAGCGGTAGAGACAGTCGTGTGGAAAAGTAAGGGCAGGCGATCAAATCTTTTCCTCGATCAACCACCTGAAAACTTGCTAAATTATTGTTACAGGATAATTTTCAGCTCTTTCTTCTCCTTTTCTTGAGCGAATACAGACCATGTATCACACTGAAGGAGATGGCTCTAGCGAATAGGATACAAAGCGAGGCTGGTAAGCAGTTAGGCCAGTTATGCTGGCATATTTTGATGCACAAAGAGCAGCCGAGGAGACAATGTGGAAAAATGACAGACACTGGCACCTTCAACCGAGCAAAAACATGGATAATTGTTCTCGGTACACTTCATTAAACCTGTGCAGGGCAGTTCGGCGACGAGGGGGGGGGCATTTTGCACTTTTGCTACTTCCCATCAACGTGTCGACCTCATCTAGACAGCCTCTTCTCGAGTTGACAGGTTTTACCATGATGGCTTAACAAGAATTCTCAGGTTTCTCCAGAGTGATACTTATTTCCCAGAAGTAGTAAAGCGACGAATGTGTAAAGCGCACCTCCCCCTCCCTCTCCCCACCCCACCCTGAACTGCGTCAACCTGTGCCTCAATCTATAAGCAGCGACTATAACGTAATTTGGGAAGGTTGAACGGCTCCAGAAAATAATGAAATCGGTTCTATTGAAGGCTAAAAACAGGCAACTAGACCGGGTTCATACTTTGCGATATTGGAGAAGGAGAACCGGAGAATCGATACGTATCTAACATTACTCGCGAAGTTTCCGATT